CAGCCAGTGGATCGTGGTGGACCCAAGGCCACAATTGGCCAGTTTCGCCAAGAGGTGATCATGGGATACCAGATTGAAGGCTTTTTTGAAGTCAACATCAATCTCTTCTCCCTTGTCCAGGTGATAGGTCACCTGGTTGTGAAAGAAAATGGGATTGGTCAAGCAAGACCTGCTACAAACCCGTGCTGGCTATCCCTCAGGATGCTGGCGTCGGCCAGTCCATTAAGGATGGCCTCTTTAATAAACTTTTCTAAGATCTTCCCCAGGATAGAAGTCAGGCTGATGGGCCTATAGTTAGCCGGATCCACTTTCCTCCCTTTCTTGAAGATAGGCACCACACTGTCCTTCTTCCAGTCTTTCGGTACTACACCAGAGCGCCAGGAGTTCTCAAAGATCCGGAACACAAAATACATTATTAAAAAATATGTAAACTCTCTGCGAGTGACTTGGGTTTTGCACATGCTCCATCATTAACTGCTCAAAAAATGTTGTACATTTTAAACATTTTTACTATTATTGATTGTACATTGTACAAGGGTTGAACTTACTATACAAATAAAATAATTACTAGCCAATTGCCCATCAAGAATGAATGGCAGGAGGAGTGGGCGGGGATGAAGCCCCCTCCCCCCGCATCTGGGCCTGCTCCCCCTTCCCTCGTGCTGCTTGCGGTCCAGGCCCGTTCCCCCACTCCCCTCCGCAGCAGCAGGGGGAAGGGAGGAGCAGGTCTGGGACCAATGCAGGAGAGAACCGGGTCCAAGGGTGGAGAGAAGCTGAGCCGCTGCAGCGGGAGGGTGGGGGAAGCAGCGGGCCCGGGCCAACCCAGCGGCGGCAGGGGGATGGGAGGAGTGGGCTCAGAGCCGATGCGGAGGTGGGGGAGGAGGCCCACTCCTTCCCTCTCCCCGCAGCTGTCGCATTGGGCTGGGCCAGGCCAGGCCAGCCCTCGCCCGCTGTCTCTGCCCCACTGCTGCGGCAGGCCAGCTTTTCCTCCAGCTCAAGCTTGCTCCTCCCCAACATCAGGCCTGGGCCCAGTCCTCCCCTGGTCCCACTGTCACTGCTGAAGCCATGGCACACCCGCTCCCCCTCCCGCATCAGGTCCACGCGGAGATGGGAAGAGCATCTCGGGGCTGAGTCAGAGGACGGGGGTGAGGGTGGGGAGTGGGCCCAGGCTCGAGCAGGGGAGCCCCCCCCCAGCCACTGCCACATCGGGCCTAGTCCGCTGTTCCCCTTCCCCCCCCACCGCAGAAGTTCGGCTTTTCCCGCACTTGGGCTCACCCCCCCACCGTGTTGGGCCTGGGCCCACTCCCTTCCGCATTACCTGCAGGGAGCAGCCCTGCTGGCCTTGCCCCTGCCCTTCTGTCCGCTCTGCTGCTGCTGCATCCAGGGAGCGGGCGGGCATGGCCAGCTGCGCTGCTCTCCTCTCGCCCCCCCCCCACCCCGCAACTCCTTCCCTTTTGTCCACACCATCATGGCGGCAGGCTTTCTTCTTTCAGAACGCTTCTTCACACTCTGGCTGTTTGTCAGCCAATCTGAGCTCAAATAAAGCATTCCAGGCAGACAGACAGACTTAGGCTTTTATAATATTAGAATTGTACACCTGGCAACACTGAGCACCACCTGCACCCTAGGAGAAGTGAACTGGGGCATATGCCTGGAAAGGGGCTGGGCTTGGGGTATATGAGCCCAGCCTCTGGGCATGAAGGGGTAGTGTGGCCTTGGCTGCTGCAGGGGTGGGAGCTCGCAGTGAAGCTGTCTGCAGCTTGGAGTCAGACCAGCTTAGGAGAGGTAGTTGGCAGGGTGGAAACCAGCCTGCCTACCAGGGCTCAAGGACAAGAGACCCAGTGACATTTATATTCAAGTTAGGACTGGTTAGGTTGCTGTTTTTTATTCACGTTTGCCTGAAAGACTAGACTCTGGGTATAGGGGTAGATTGGAGGCCATAGCACTGAGTTGCTGGTGTAGTCTGGGTGTCAAGCCCTGCCAAGGGTCAGGAGGAGGGGGCCAGGTTAGTATTGAGAAGGCCTAGGCTTGTCTAGAATCCCAGAGAGATGGATTAGGAGAACCAAGGCCATGGAGCTGAAGTCCAAGACACTGGACCATGACTCTGGCTTGGCCAGAGAAAAGTAGGCCAAGGCCAGGACAGCTGCCTAAACAAGTGTTTGGAGGCATGAGTGACGGCTGCCTCCAAGGGGAAGCACAGAGATCCTCAGGACTACATGTGGGCTGAGTAGCTCAAGTACAGAGCCAGAAGTGAGGAGTTCCAGAGAGACTACTCCTGGCTTTCAGGGACGACCCCCTCAGTAAACCACCAGGAATATCAAAGGCATGGTGAGCAAGAGACTGGGTGTGAAGTGGGGCCAAAGGTTGCACAAAGCAGGTCAGACTCCAGGGGCATCTGGTGCTGAGAGGCAGGCCAACAAGGCTCGCTGCAGTATTTAAAGGTAAAAATTTGAAGTGCAGCTCAAACAACAGGTGAGGCCACTAGGATGATTTTCTTTTTTTTCAGTAGCCTCTTTTTTCTATGTTATTACTGCACTCTGTAGTATTTATTGTTGCATTATCTACCACATAGTAT